TCTTGTCACTATCAATTGTTAAAAATTTTAAATTTGCACTTTTAGTAAATAATTTGAATAAAAACAATATCATTTGTTCTTTAATTTGCATGATTTGTTTTCTCGACTCATCAAAATTTTTTTTGGGCCAAAATACGGCGATCCAGGAATGTGCAATTATTTCTAAGCTCTTAAGTGAAAATTCTTCCAGCATCATTGAATAACTAAATAAGGGCCTTTTATCTGGCACCAATTTCAGGATAGATTTTTGGTTATATAAATTTTTAATTATTAACATCTTAAGATAACTTTTTTCATGTTCTTTAAGTAATGAAATATAAACTGATATAATCTTGTATATATTATCAAAGTTTAATTTATCAAATGGCAAGCCCACAATAGTGGCACCACATTTATACACCAGTGACGATTTACAAATAAAGAAGGATATAGTGACTCATTATTTTTCTTGACATATTAAAATATTTCTTTCATACATTCAGTAGGAAGCGTAGGAAGCATAGTGTTGATGAAAAGACATTAATCGAAACGATACAGTATGTAATAATGATATTTAAATATTTAAAATAATCATGGTTTTTTTCTGATTTGAAATCTTTAATTCATGACTATAAATGTTATTGAATTAAATAAATAACTAAGCTTATATAGTAACTTAGAACTAAAATAATACAGTATCGATATAGTTGATTGGTTTACAGTGGCCCCTTTCAGCGGTTCAGACATTTTTCATCAGTGCAATATATGTATTGTAGTTGAATTATATGTAAACAATTCAAATTTTTTTTACTAAACCTAATAAAGTATCTGTATTACTATACTGTATTATGGTAAATATAGTATATTCTGTATTATTAATTTAGAAATTCATAATTTTAAGTTTAACGTTTATCATCTATACTTAAATTAGAGATCAATGATCAACTACCGCTACATATACTGATATCGATATGCAATAATTCAGTAATTGCGGAATTAAATAAATGGGCGTACGTAATAGGTAACTTTCTACGCTATTGAATAAAGTATGTTGTACAATTACCATAAAAAAGTTTGAATCGTACTTTCAATAAAAGAATACGTATGTATCTATCTAATAAAATAATGCTAAATTGAATTGTATTGAATATTCACTTTATATATTGCTGCACTAACATTAGCTATTGTATTGTATAATTACCCAAACAAAAAGTTCAACGCTGAAAAATATGTATATTAACAGAAATTAATGTACAAAGCATTAAACCTTAAACATTAAAGTCATGTTTATCTTATGAAGACAATAGGCAAAATTATTTTAGAGTAAACAGATTTATGCACCGCAGAATTCATTGTTAAAATACGTGTCGCAATAACTTTCTTATTCAGTCCGTATATTACAGCTCCGCAAAGCACTGCCGTTATAGGATTTTGTAGAACAGAGATAATTGGAATTTCACTGCCAAAAGCTGTTCTTATTTTGTTAATCAAATATGAAGATTCTGAGAAACCACCAGCCAAGAACATTGCCGAACATTTTTGTTTAGACATATTAAGTTGATTGTATATCAACTTTATAATGTTATTTACTACGGGATCAAAAATCGAAATAACATCCTCGTAACCAATTTCTATTAGCCAGTTCTCCTCCTCTAATTCATCCTTAATCGAGCCAGATACCAAGTTTATAAGTGCAGGACAAATTTTTTCGATGTCTAAATCAATAGGCCTAAATTCAGATGGTTCTCCAGAAAATCCAAACTTCACACGCGGACAAAAAAAATCAATAATTAGATACTGATATTGACTATAGTACTTTTTTATGAAGAGGTCAATTACACTTTTGCCAAGTTTTTGTTCTAAAAATATTTTAAATTGTTTATCTACAAAAGTACTTCCGCACAAGCCACCAGTGCGTTCAGTGATTTCACCAAGTGTCCCGTCGCTCAGAAGTGTACGGTTCGTTAAGTCAACAGTCCCACCTCCACAATCACACACTAAAAAGGAGGCTAAAATTTTGGTAGAATGTTATTGTCTTATAAACGGAATAAGATGTAAATAGATATTGAAAACAACCTCCAGATTGTAATTTATGTTCTTCCAACTTATTCATACAATATAGTGCAACTGCTTCAGCTATAATAATAAACATACCATGTTAGCATATGAGTAATAAATTCCGATTTATATAACGATTATAAAATGCTTTACGTTCTGTTGCGAATTCCAGATTATTAGAATAACCCTTCTCAAGGTATCCAGCTTTATAAATGCAGTCTCGAAAGATTCCTATGGCATGAGGTTTCCTTACAAATACATGCAATATAAATTTTAATGAATGCTGAATCATGTTATTTTACTAGTGCATCAGTGTTATTACCATTCTGCAGGAATAGTGAAAACGAACCAAACTTGAGAAAATTTTATACCAGGCCATCTTTTTGTTAGGGTATCTTGAATAAGCTATAATAAAGTTATTTGTTCTGTTCTATAAGACAGATCAAACTTCCATGACACTTAGATAATAAAATTTCAGCCCACCGACTTCATCTGTTCAAGATAATCTTGAATGACCTTATGATAGTTTAAACCATATGGCAATTCGGGTTTTTGATACTCGGGAATATCAGCAAGATGCAGTTTAAATAATTCAATAGGCCTAAATCCATTGGGATCATCGTGAGATTTTTTCCTTGATTTCCTAGGTTTTTGAGCCAAAGCAGGAATTTCCCAGTTTGTTACGTTCCATCCACTATTATATTGAAGAACTGTGTTTGTTTTAGGGGCAATTTTTCGAGAACCATTTAGACCAGGCCTTTAAATAATATAATAGTCATATTTATTAAAAGATTCAATTATAGAAGTAAATCAAAACTAAAGATGGGTCCCGAAACCCAAACCTTCCTAAACCCTTTAGGTTTAGGCTATAGTATTAGTTAGTTTTGAATATAATATTTTTTACCTAAATCCCAAACCCTAAACCCTAAAC